GGGCTCTAACTGAAAAAGATGTGAAAATATTTAACTTTCCAAAATGTCATATTTGAATCACTTTACCAACACATATATGAAACTATTTTAGACAGTCAAGACATCTGCTTCCTGGCCAAAAATTGTAGGCGTTCATGGAGATTTAAGCTGGAGACAGCAAATGCAAAACAACAGCCTCCAGAACTAAAGAGTGACCCATAGCCCAGGGTTGCCCACATTGAGGCTTGACAATTTATGTGTTTCCTGAGTGTGAGGGGCTTCTAAAAATAGAGGATAAAAAGCTGATCTGCTCTCCCCTCTCACATACAAACTCTAGAACACAGCCTCCTAACTTCTGCTACCTCTGGTTCAATATTGCCCAACTCAATTGTTGCTCACTAGTTCTTAGATAGTCAGAGTCCCTCTCTAAGACGTTACTGGTAAGGGAACTGTAACATGTGGACGTGATCTTTAATTCTTTGAAGAGACCAGCTGAAAGTTTTAAGACTTCAAAAAAAAAAGATCTTGTATATAAATTTAGGGAATTGACAGAGGATGGTCAAGATCAGGTTTAATGAAAGACATCACTCTTGTTTTTGGCTGTGATAAACCTTGGAAGATAGAGAAGGTAGACCAAGTGGTAAGTAGGCTGTGTCAGACGCAAAGCCAAAAAATGCAAAGTCCCTACGGTGGAACAGTGTGTGTCTGGAGAAGAGTGTTGCAGCAACATTGAACAAACACATAGGGGAGCAAAGAGGTAGGTGAATGGTGATGAGATGTAGTGAAGGCCATGCCAGGAAGCTAGCAGCCAGGTGGTGAGGTGAATCACTTTACATGAAAACATACATGAAACTATGTTAGACACTCAAAACATCTGCTTCCTTGGCCAGAAAATGTAGGTGTTCATGTGAGCAAGGAGTGAAAGTCAACCACACAATCCTACTTAATGGTTTGAGAAGAAACACCCAGGGAAAGAGAAAAATTACATAGCTACTTAAATAATCTACATAAGAGGTAACATCAGATTCAGAAAATGAAATGATGGAAAAGGATAAATCCAAAAGGTTTTCTAACCTATCAAAAGAAAAGAGACCAGTAACCAGCTGACCCAAAAGATGAACTAACCTTTCTTCCCACTAACACCCATGCAACGTATGGCCAGAATCACAATTTAGTCCGAGGACTGAAAAGGCTGTTTATTGAAAATCTGTTGTGTGTCAGATATGATGCTTAGTGTGTTATTCACCTTATTTTATATGCTGAAAATTGATGATCATCAATTTATTGGTGCAAACAGAAAAATAAACGTTATAGCTTGTATCTAGATGTCTCCCTAAAGCCTTATACCCTCATAGGTGGGCCTTTTGGGAAGTGACTGGAACATGGGTGTGATACTGGATTAGTTCACTGATGGGTTTATAGCCGGGTGTGATTTGGGGAAGGGAAACCTGGTGGGAAGAGTTGGGAACTATGGGTGTAGCCTAGAAAGGTGTGTGTGTTTGTGTTTGTGTGTGTGTGTGTGTGTGTGTGTGTGTGTGTGTATCTCCTTTTTCCCTGGACCCTACTCTGCTTTCTGCCTACCATGCTGTGGACTGTTTCTCCTCTGCCATGCCACCCTGCCTTGGAATCAGCCAATTATGGACTGAAATATCTACAAACTGTGATCCAAAATAAACCTCTCCTCCTTTAACTTACAGGTGTCAGATATTTTGTCCCAGCAACTGGAAAGTAACTAAGACAAGAAAAAAGATGACCTTCCTATGTTCATAGCATAGATGGTAAAGAGAATTAATAACTCAGAAACACTAAAAGCGAACATATTTTTCAAGCTCTGTGAGAAACAAGGTGAACACACAGACACAGTCCCAACTGCTAGATTCACACTCAGACTTGACTCCTAAGCTCATCCTTTTCTTCTTTTTACCATTGCTCTGTACTCTTATACATGAAGTTCTTGCTCTGACTCAGTTACAGCATTTGACTAAGGCCATACTGTTTCCATACCATAAAATTAAGCCTGAAATTTTTATTTTTTAAAAAAGTCATTTCTTGAGTCTCAAATGCAGTCCTACACTTTCTTTGTTAAATGTTGATGATCACAAGAAGTCACAATACTGCAGTCAACTGCTCATTCATTATTCATATTTTAAGCAAGGAAAGCTGATGTTAACTCTTACACCAACATAAAAGAACAGTTTACATCAAGTTTGAGGCTTCTCATTCTTTCAGTCCCACCTTTTCTGAATCAGAACAAGATTATCTACTAGATACCAGAGGATAGAGTACAAAACCCTACTTTATATCACAGTACTTAACTTGAAAAGATCATACCAGAAGGAAAAAAAAACATGAATAATTTGCATATCTTTAACAATAAGAATATTAAGAATTAAAATACACATGAATTCTATGACAATTAGAAAATACGTAATTTAATAAATACTTATTAAACACTTACAAAGCACAAGATAACATAATTGTGAGAGAGACAGAAATTACTGAGACAGGACATTGTTTCCACAAGTTTCAATGGTAGAAGATAAGACACAAGGAAAGCAATGGTAATTCTAGGGTATGGCACGTGGCTATTGGGAGACAAATCTCCAAGGGTCTCTTGCATTTCTGCATATATTGTGAATGAAACAATGACTATCTTTTGTTCTGAATTCTCTCTTTCAGGATGTTTCCATAGCAAACAGCCTTGGAGGCAGACTGGTATCCCAGTCTGGAGCAAAGGGCAGCTTTGCTTATAATCCTGGAAAATATACATGGTGTTTCTTGGTAGTGTAAAGAGGAGGAATGCTTACTGTCCAGTATAATAATGTCTCCCTGCAGAGCGAAGGGCAGATGTGTTTACTACCCACCATAAAAGATTGCAGTTTTTGTGCAGTAATACAACCTCTCTTTGTGTCATCCTGTGGGAATCTGGGCTCAGGAAAACAGTACAAATAAAATAATCAGATATTGTTGTCTCTATAAATAATAAACTGTCCTTTGTTTCTGACTTAGGAGTTCCGTGTTTTCTACCAACATCTAAGACTGTGGTAGGTTAACTCCTTAGCTTGCAAGTAGGGTAAAATATATCCTTGATAGTTCCTGACTGTTCTCAGTTGCAAAAATGGCAACAAATTCTTCCACTTCCTCTGTCCACTCCCTTTCTCATCCCATTTTTACCCTGATTCTGGAACAGCCATGTGATTTGCTTGGCCAATGGGACACAAACAGAAGTTTAGGAAGCCCCTGAACATTAAGGTTTGTGCTGTTGCTGCTAGAATTTAGTCATCACGTAAAAAAGCCAGGGTTTCAAGCATGGGCAAAGACTCTACCACTGAGTTATATCCCTAGCTCCTGATATAAGGATTAAAAAAGAGGCATTCTCTGGGCATACTCTACCAGAGTATGAGGAGCACTGTGGTAGAGGAGATTAAAAACTAAGAGTAGCAAAAATCATTGAGAAATGCCAACAAGTAAAATGGTCTCTTGGGCTCATATGCATGTATTTGTTCATCCTCTGCTATAAATACACATGCATAAAACAAAACCATTTCCCAATATTAAATTCAAAACCCAGAAGGCAGAAACCTGTTAATCATGAAGAAAGCTATATAGTGATCTACAAGAAGACAAAACTTGTATTACATAATGTGCACACAATCCTAAATATTTTATTGTTTCAAAAGCATCTTTGGAATACTAAAACCTTTCTGGAAAATGAATGCCTGACGATGTAAGGGTGTATCAACGTATCACTATATTAATGGGACTAAAAGGTCACTTTACAGATAAAGTACTCTGCATCCTTTCTGCAGTTTGTAAATAAATCCCTACTTTTTATTTTAGAAACACATTTCAAGTAATGACCTCTTTATCCTCTACAGCACTCAGCTTCATCACATTTAAAAGAACTTCTTCAAAGGCTTTAGTTATGATTTGGCATCTTTGAAAAATTACTATCACTGCTGGCTGGCAATTGAGTGTAGTGTATATTGTCTCTTAAACAAGAAAAATGAAGTCATTGTAAACACCCAAGCCAATTAAAAGACTGCCTATGGCCTACACTGGTTTCTGTATTATTTAGAGATCTTGGTGAGGGAACTTTTTATAAATAAAGTTATATTCCTGTTCATACAGAGACTCATACTGTTATATTTTAAAATATTACCTAGTCACCAATTAACCTAAGTAACACTGAAAAATTAAATAAAAAATTTTAAATGTATATTCAGAAATTAATTTCAAAAAAATTTCTGGCTAATCATTGTCCTCTATACCAAAAGGTAGAATAGACTAGTGGTTCAGAGTTATCAGTTCCAGATCTGCTATGTAGGAACTATGTGACTTATTATTTAGTGTCTGCATTATAAAAAATTACTTAACCTCTGAAATGCAGTTTTCTTAGATGGAAAGTGATTTCAGTGATATGCATATGTTTGTAAACTGGGCTTTTGTGAAGATTAAATAAGCTATGGACATAAAGTCCTTTGTCCACCAAAATCCCAGGAAACACTAAATAGTCTTTAATGAGCTATAAGCGTTCTGTACACTTTTGTCTTCAAAACAATACTTTATATATTAAAATAATGCATATATACATATATATTACATATAAAATAATACATATCACTACATACCATTAGCTGCTGGAAATAAAACTCCAAAGTTTTACTAAACAAAACAACACACCTTACACGTCAACCATAAAGTTTCAGGGAGTCAGCTGCATCTCTGTACTAAGAGCAAATAATTAGAAAGTATTAAGAACATGTATTGAAAATAAAAAATCAGAAGCAATACATAAATTTAGGAATATTTTTATTTTAATCAATTATTTTACAGAGTATTCCAATCCTAGATTGGAAACATTTCCAGGTCTCATTTTGCTCAGGAAAGAACATAAACCCTAGCATTCAAATTCTGGAAATGACCACCTAATTGTCTCGTTGTTGAATGACAGACCAAGAAACACTGTGATTTTCTGCTTATTGATATCCTAAAGAAACAAACAGGCTACATCAACTTACCCGGAAATAGTCACTGCATGCAGCTAGGACTGCCTTGTGAGCATGGAATTTCTGTTCCTCAGCAATCAGGGTGACATCACAGAGGACTCCATCACTTCTCTGCTGATTCAGCGCTGCCAGGACACTGTCATTATGAGATTCTGAGTGGCAGAGCCTCTGCCCTGTCAGCATTTCTTGAATACTACAAAGGAGAGCAATTGATTGAGTCAACTTAGTTACTTGATTGATTGATTGATTGATTGATTATACTGGAGGTTGAACCCAGAGCCTTTGCTCTGAGCTACATCCCCAGTCTTTTTTTTTTTTTTTCTTTAATTTTGAGACAGGGTCTCACTAAGTTACTAAGTCATCCAGGCTGGGCTTGGCGTTCTTCCTTTCACCAGCCCTGCTTCCTAAATGCTCTCTCAGTCCTTCCACATCAACTGAGGGAACTTGGATTCTAGCATACCTTGAGTTTTTTTGTTTTGTTTTGGTACCAGGTAGTGAACTCAGGCCCTTGCATTTGCACAGCAGGAGGCGAAACCAATGAGCTAAATCCCCAGCCCCATACTTTGAGTTTGACTTTCAAGTTTTCAAACTTTTTTTTCTCTACTATTTTCTAGTTCTGTTTTTTCTGATTCTTTTCCTTGCTCTCACCAGGTCTCTTTCTCTCTCTGATTAGTGTCCCTTTCTTTTGTTTGTGTGTGTGCCCATTGGTGACTTCATATGGTCCACACTTGTGGACCTATGAGACTACTGCTAGACCCCTGTCCCCTCAGTGTGTGTACACCTTTGAGTGTAAAACTTGCTCTGTTTGTGTGTGTGAGTCTTCTCACTTTGTGAGTCCCTCTCTTTACTTCCATTCTTTCTCCAGATTTGTTCCTTACCAGATCTTCCCACAGGACACGATATTCCATTAATAAATACAAGAAAACTGAGCAAATGTTGGTTAAGGAGAAAAGACCTGAAAGTGAAATTATGTACCACAAGAAGAACATCAAAAGAAACACCTTTGTAAATGAAAAAAATTAAAGTTGAAAGTAATCTATTTATATTATCAGCCTTAATGTCTACATGTGATCATTATACAGTACTAGGCTTATGTTGTGAGATTGCTAAACTTATCCATTGTGAAACTTACCCCTCTACTGTCTGTCCCACCCTTATATCCTTTCAAAACTCCTAGGTGAAAATCTAGAATTTCCTAAAATGCAAAGTGAGTATCTAGAGATCTATGGATAATTCTACTTTGGATCAACAGATTTCTCAACATGCTTTAAAATCTCAGAGCAGGTACTGGACTAAGATGAGTGAGGTATACCAGTAAATAAGTCCTCTGAGAAGAAATAAAGGGCCATCAAGCCCTATTTCTGGACGGCAGACTTTTCTCAAGGCTAAGTAAAGATAAACTGTCTTCCTCAGTCCCACACACTTGTAATTCCTGCATCTAACTCCTCTTTCTGAGCATGAAGGAGTTGCTCAGAGGAGCCAGGGTCGGTTTGACAGAGCTCTGCCCAGCCTGTGTGCCAGTTGACTGGTAAATTCTAGTTATGCGCAAAACATCACCTTAAAATCAACCAAATTCTTCCCAAGAAATGCTAGAGTGCAGTCAGTAAGCTTTATCAGACATTTTTGACTGGGAAGCATCAGAAATGTCAGAACTATGGAAAGAAAAGAACTTGACAGGTGGTGATGATATAGGAAGCTGTTGGAGGAAGGTGGGAGGATTATTTTCAGTTGGAATGTGACAGTGAGTTTTGAAGTGGTTACTGTCATTGATATTCATCTAGTGGCTCTAGCTATCAAAAGACTTTTTAAAATAAGTCATTGAAAATCACATTCAGAAGCATAAATAATTTTATAAATTTCTATGTAAAGCCTAGATAGATATTAATTAGCATCACTCAAAGAAATGAAATTGAATAATAGAAATATTGTATCTAAGTATAGTTTTAGAATACTCTTTGAAAAATCTTTCCTGAAAGATATTTTATATATTTAATAAACACATACTGCTTACCATGTTCAATTATTAATTCATTTAATCATCTTAATAACCCCAAGAGGCAAGTACTTTTGTTATCTCTGTTTATAGATAAGAAAACTTAAAGTCTTAGATCAAGCATTTTGAAAATATAACATCAGAAGCACAATATAATTCCTCTTTCTACTCAAAGAAAAGATAATTTGTAAAGATCTCCAAAATTTATGCTCAAGAGGACAAAAAAAATCACAAGTCTCTATTTTTTTTAATGTTTTTATCATGTATAATTAATCTCAAAATCAGCCTTATAAAAAATACATGAAGATAGGGCCGGGGATTTAGCTCAGTGGTTCCGCCGCCTGCCTTGCAAGTGCAACAACCTGAGTTTGATCCCTGGTGCCAAAAAAAAAAAAAAAAATACATGAAGATAATGAAATAAGTTATTACAATAAGAAATTGTTTCAAATCACTGTTCAAAAATATTTGTTATACTATGATTTAAAATTTTCTGCAGAATATAATAGATTTTTATTATTATAATCTTAGACAATATACTTCACACTTTCATAATTTTTCTCCTCTCTTCTATCACCTTAAATGCTAAGCAAACGCATTTTAAAATTTCATTTGTAATGGAACAGAAGAATATATTAAAATAATTGCCTTAAAATGTTTCCTTACTCATTTTCCAAATATAGTGCCACAATTCACATCCTTATCATTAAGCCTCGGTATTTGGAGTTCAGCTATCTCTTTGGAGTGAATAAACCTTGCCAGGAAAAGAGCAGCTGTAAACTGAAATTTGGCAAAGAATAAAGTGCTCAGTTTTGAAACAATAGTGATGCTACACAATTTCACAGGATCTTCCTGCTTGGCTTGAAATATTCAAGCTTAAAGAAAATAGCATGCTAAATATTTACAACAACACTTGGCACAAAATCCTAAATATTTTGGAACCAATATGTTAGAATTCTTTAAAAACAGAAACAAATACTCCAACATTTGGCAAGAAATAAAGATCTATTAGTCAACAAGTCATTATCATATTCCAAAAGTAAAAGTAACTTCTCATTCAACTCTCAGATGTAAATCTACAAAAGACTTCAGCCCTCTGAATGTGAAGGCACATTGGCCACAGAACACAGCAGGAAGGTAACATCCACTTTACCAAGTAATAATCATAAACCAAGGAGAAAAGAATCAACAACTATGGGGCCTCTATGTTTAAATTAGGAGAAAGGAGCCATGTGCTTGTGATTAGCTCCCTTGGCATTTGTAACATATATCAAATTAGCAAATAATACCTCCCAATTTAGAGGAATTCCCATCACTACTTGAGAAACAAAGAAAAAAAGAAAAACCACGTATTTTAAAACTTCCTAAATTACTGGGGAAATATGAAAAAATGTTGCCATCTCAAAATTCACAGGTAATGCAGTAAGCATCCTGCCTTCCCCAAAGCAACACAAATACCCTTTTTATTGAGGGCATCCAAAGCGCCACTGTCCAATATAGAAGCTGTAACCATGTGCGGCTTTTAAGCACATCAAATACTGAGCACTACAAGCTGATATGTGCTGTAGTGTAAAATATATACTGGATGGCAAAGGCACTATGAAAAAGAGAATGCAAAATATCGCATTAACACTTTTATATTGATTACATGTTTAAATATGCTATTTGAGGCACTTTGGGTTATATAAAATATACTGTTAAAATTAATTTGACCTGTTTCATTTTACTTTTTACTATGGCTGCTTTAAATCATATATGCTTCTCATTCTTCTATTGGGAAGTCTGTAAGTTCCCAGGGAAGTACAGTGGACCCTCAAGTTATGACCGGCCTGACATGCAAACAACTTGGGTTAATTAGGTTAATGTAAGATTTATCTGCCTCTTGTTATCTATAGTGTGTACCCAGGTAAACATCTAGATCTCAGCTGTATTGACTTAGTTAAAACCAGTCCTCGGGAACTGATCGAGTTTGTAAGTCAAGGGTCCACTGTATATACCTATTTCTTTTCACCTGAACCTACAAGGGAGGGCTTCAGGTGACCTCAATTATGGACTGCTATTCATGTACATCACAGGGCCAAGCCTAAACCCTGGTATGACCATGGGAAGCCCAAGTCCCTGAGCAGCAGATTGCTTTTTAGTGATGCCAGGGAGTAACCATTTGATCAGCCGCATGTCAGCATCCAGTAATGGGGAGATTAATAAGTGAGGTCTCAGGAAACAGGAGTATTCATGACTTCAAGCCTGTAACTTTCATTCTGGAACTGATAGCACAAACTAATAAATCAAATGCAGAACATGATGTTCAGAACATCATACACCCTACTGGTAGTGGACCACTGCTTCAGTGCAAATCACTACTTTGAGTTCAGAGAGTTAACATTTTTGACCACAGAAATTTCATACAGTCTCATTTTTTCAGAATAAAATTTGACTGAATTCAGTTTTTAGGATATAAATTTCAAAATGGCAATATGGTTTTAAATATTCACATTTAATACTTTAAAATTTAAGTGAATTTCTCTATCAATGTTTACCTGATGCTCAGATATATTAAAAATTTGCAAGTAATTCTCAAATAAGGCTACCAATGAATAATTACATTCTTCCATATCAAAAACAGTCAAGTAACACAAAGAGCCTCATTTTTTTTTGAGCTGCATTTCTTAAATAGATTACACAAGAAAGAAAAAGAATGGTAAAATTCTGAATGGTAATATAATTATACCTGATTATTTTAATTCAGCCAATTGATTATCAAGCATCCCAATCACTTCAATAACATAGTCTAATATATTATACAAATTAAATTCATGTAAATATATTAATATTAAAAGAATTCTATTTAAGTAGGAAGGCTGTTAACAGATCCTATAATTGAATTTAATTCTATTTTATACAACATTTAACATTTTACAGTCTTTAAATCAAATGCTAACAATTAATAGTAATGTCCATAATAATAAGAAGAGGATAATGCATGGAGAATGATTCAGAAATAATGAAGACTATGCAGAAAAGAATATAATTGTAGATGAATAGTTTTGTATCCTTTCTTCCCTCATTCACTCACCCAACAAATAATTATTCAGCCTTATTATGCTAGAACAGTACTGGGATAAAACAGTGTGCAAAGCAAATGTGGTAGCAGTCCTTGTGGAACATTCAGTTTAGCAGAATAGTTACACATTAATCAAGTAATCTTGCCTCCTAAAGAAGTAACACTTGAGATACAAGCTAAAGGATAGTAAAAAGAAGTAAAAAGAAGAAGCTTCACAGGCAGGAGAACAGTGAATACTCCAATCCTGTGGCAGAAGGCCAGAAGGTTAATGGCCAGAACCCTGAGGATGAGGGAGAGCCTGCCTGGTCCAGGAGACACCCGAACAAAAGATACTGAACCCCATTCTTGCCAGAGTTCTGGTCCAGGTTATCCTAAAAGCCATGGAAGTCCCAGAAATCATCATTCAGGCCATGCTACCAAGAGCAATCAGGGAGACTGGGCCACAGTACAGCAGTTCTGGATAGTGTTTGTAGTGCAGATGAGTTATAGACTTGGGCCTTGGACTGGAGTATGGAGATAGAATTTCTGAGAGGTGAATGAATTTGAAAGTTACTCAAAGGAGAGGTCTAGTGGCCTTGGTGATGATTATATATGGAGTTGGGTGGGTACCCAACCAAGATACCTACATTTCTGGTTTATATAACTTGATATTCTCAGAACAGGAACTAGTGAAATAGCGTGAAAATTCCAGAAGAAGATGATAAATTCAGTTGGATATGTTAAGTTTGAGCTGTCTTTAAGATTCACAAGAGCAGATGTCAAATATGTAGTTTGATTCATGGATCTGGAGCTCAGAAAGAAGTCTTAGCTAGAGATATAAACCTATGACTAATCTGTAAAGGGTGGGTAACACAAGCACAGCTGCACTTTAAGAATATATTGAGAGATGCCCAAAAATGGTTGCTGAGAAGATAAGAAAGATGAGATTTAAAGCACAGAAGCAAAACTTAGCTTAGTTGTGAGAAGAGCCACCCCTTGAGTAGCATGGAATGGTTGGGCCAGAAACACATATCGAAACTGGGCATTTTTTGGCCTGACAAATATAGAGTTTTATGAACCCGTCTTCACTAGACAATGTAGGCATATAAATTTGGATAGTTGAGTTCACCTGGATTGGGTTTTTCTCAGACAAATCTATCAAAAATACCAGGGGTAAGAGAAATGAAGGATGCAGCAAGAGTGATAGAATCTAAACTGGTTAAGAAGGAAAACGAAAAAAGGAAAGGTTTGATTGTTTGGTAGAAAGTAGCAGGGCCAGAAGATCAGACCTGGCAAAGAGGTCAAAGTACAACCCTAGTGGGAGTAGGTAAATGGGCAAGTAGGAGGACAAAAGGGCATGGTAAGAGGAAAGCAGTTGATATAGAGATTTCAGAAATAGAGCAATTGCTGATGATGACAAGGTCCAAGGTGTGACCATGGGAGTGGGTTCTACTTAGGTAGAACAAGAAGTCTTTAGGGATAAAAAAGTTGAGAGTCTGAGAGCCACAAATCAGGACAAATCTTTCCTGACACTAAGGGCCCTGAAAATTTGTAAAGGGTTTGTGATGGGGAGGAAGACTGCAAGCTAGGTGCCAAAGTATTCAGTGAATGAGGGGAGATGACTTTGACCACAGCCAGGAAGAGAGGGTAAGAAAAATAAAGAGAACTACCTTCAGAAGAGTATGTCTCCCTGTAGCTTTCTCAAACAACCAGTCTAAGAAGTAATGACCTATGTCTCAGGATGATAACAACCCAACAGGGATAGGTAGAGTTACCTATCCCTGAAATACACGAGATGTTCGGAAATAATAATGTTATCACATGAGAGGGCTACAAAAGTAGTGGTCCTCAGAGGAGGGTAAGTCCCAGTGAAGTCAGAAGGCACATAGAGCTTTTTGGAATAAGGGAGATGACACAGAAGAGCACAAGGTCATGTTGCAACAGTTCCAAGTGTTATGGCAAAAGATTTGGGAGATGGGGAAGGGAGGACTTTGGGTTAAGGCAGAGCAAGGGAGACCACTATAGACATGATTACAGCAAGGAAGACAGATGACAATAGGATAGGAGTTGATTAATAAAATAGGAAATGACACTGGGCATAGTGGTGCATGCCTGTAATTTCAGTACTCGAGAGGCTGAGGTAGGAGGATTGCTGCAAGTTCAAAGCCAGCTTGGGCTACATAGTAAGTGTAGGGCCATCCTGAACTTGTCTCAAAAACAAAACAAAACAAAAAAACAGGGATGATAGACTGAGAGTAAAAAACATCATTTTGAATGCCCACTGGTCTTGGTAGCCAGGAATAAGTCATCTGGCCAAGGTGGTGACAGACAGATATCATGGTCCCCATGCTGGACACCAGTTCAACAGCAAACTTTCTCAACCTCAGCACTATTGATATTTTGAGCTGGGTTGGTTTTTTGCTGTGAGGAGTTGTCCTATGCATTTAACATGTTTAACAGGATTCCTGACCTCTACCCACTACTGCAGGTGACAAAAATGTTGCCAGACATTGCACAATGTACCTTCACTCCCCATTCAGAACCACTGATGATGGAGTGTAACAAACTCACATGGCTACTGCAGAGGTGTTATACCTGCTATAGAGATGCCACCATTTTTGGAACTAGTTTGGGAACTAGTCGACTCTTACATTTTCAGAATCATGGGAAAAAGCTGATCTCACTATTTAATCAATATTTAATAAATATACTCGATTCTTAATATTGCATAAATGTATCCCCAGATTTGTCACATCTTCTATTTTTTGCTCTAAAGAATTTTTGACTACTTCCTTAGAGGAAGATGGAGATTTCCCACCTCCAGTGAAAATATTCAAATGAATGCCATACATTTTTTGATATTGTGCCCCTCTATAGTTGAAATGTGTCAAACTCTATCCTGCCTCGGGGAATTTCTCCATGTCATGCCATCCATCCTTCAGATACCAGATTGTAGAGCACTTCCTGAGGAAGTCATTTCCTTACTGTATTTATCCTGTACTTGTCCTTCAGAGCACTTTTCACAATTACATTTATGTTGTTAACTGTATGATTGCTTATTTAATGCCTATTTCTCCTAAAGAATACCTATTCTATGAAGGCAGAAGTCCTATCTGTTTCAGTCATAGCTGAAAGTCATCCTGTTGCATCAAGTAGAGTGCTTGATGCAGTAAGTATTTATTAAATGAATGAACTACTAAAAGAAAATGCTATTGGGGTTTTGAGAATAAGTATTGCACTCCCCCCATGATTTCTTTCAAGGGAACAATAGTCATACATATCTGTAGTTTTCTGGTTCTTCCTTTAATCTTAGATCTTTGTAGTAATATATCTTTTGTTCAAGACAGGGAAGCATCTCAAATAAGCAAAAGAAAAAGTAGCATCATGAAACTTCTCTAGATCTGACCAAGAACTAGATTTTAGCAGTTCATCTCTGTGCCATCACACCAAAATCATAAAAGCTCTAATTTCTTTCTTTATTCCTTCAAATACACAGTCAGCCCCTACTCTGTGCTTGGTCCTGAAATGTGCGGTACTAACTAGTTCAAGGCTCACTGAAACACACCAAGCCAAGAAACCTCCCGAGTATACCTGAGGCAACGTTCAGACGGCATTCTCCAGCTGGGGTCCTCAGGCTCTCGGGCTTAGAAGTCTACAGAGGGATCAGCAAGCATTCCAGCTGATTAAAAAAGATAAGACAGAAGAACATATTGAGCTAAATGCAAAAGAAGAGGCTCAAATTCTGGGTCCTCATGATGCTCAAATTTTAGAATCCCAAAGAGGCAGGTTGGAGAGTTTTGTTGTTGACATGAAACATTCTAATGCCATGCTCTTTTCACATTCAGTGGTTCTGGGTGTTTTTAAATTTCAAGTTTTTCCATATTATTGGAGAACCGGGGACTCAGTAGTAAAATGTGTTTAAGAATCAATAATAGCTAATTAAATTGAAGTAAAAAATAAAACATGAGATGGTCAAAGGGAAAAATTAAGATTGATAAAATAAAACTATAATGATTTGGGCCAGGAATTTAACTCAGTGGTTCCACCGCCTGCCTCGAAAGCACAAGGTCCCAAGTTCAATCCCCAGTATCAAAAAAAAAAAAAAATTACAATGATTTGATGAGCGATCAGGTGCATTCAGGTGGTATGGCCATGAACTAAAACTGCAATGATCTAACGCACAAATACTAGTTGACTTGTCTTTCATAGACATTTTATTTTCCTTCCAAACATGATTAGTAAAATAAAGTTACAAGTAAGTACCTCTTGGCTAAGTGTTTACAGAAAGATGATATTCTATTCAAAACAGATTTCTGAAAAACTAGATTGCAAAAATAATACAAAAAGGATGAAAACTGTAGGAAATGAAAATGAATTCTGTCAGAGTTCAGGATTAGCATAAGTGAAATATACAATAGGATGTCATTATCTGGGTTGGAATTGCTCCTTGGCTAAATGCACTCACTCATGTTGTCCCTGCTCCCAACCCTTGCCTTTATTCTTAATTGTAACTCTAAACAGAAAAAAGAAATCATTTGAACAGTCTGGGATCTGGTCCATGACTACGCTTTACAACTCTCATTAGAGGGTCTAGCTGCCATTTTCTAATACTCCCAAGTAGCAAAATTAATTACAATCTGGATAAGCTAAACAGGCTCCCTTCTGTCTCAATTTTATTTTAAAAAACAAGAACAGTGTGAAATGCTTAAGAAAGAAATATGTTAAACTCTGCCTATTTCTGCTGACTTGTATTAAAAAAGAGCTGTGATTTTCAATCTGAATAAAAAATAGCATTTGTTATACACAGATCTTCAATTGGTATGATTGACTAATAGTTCATGTATTATATCATAATTTGGTTAAAAAGTCTACTGTCATTGAATATTAGGTTGTTCCAATCATTTTTGATACAATTTTATCTTTTAGTTCTTTTTTTAAGTTATTGAATATGGGGTATCAATACTTTCACTTATTTATAATGTAAATTTTGACAAACCTAAAAGTGTCATTTTTAATTGATTCATTATGACTGAGCAGCATAGGAGGACAGAATAATTCTATTCACATTATTTAATTAGCTAAGAGACTTGCTTAGCAACTTGTTGTTGCTACAGTTTCTTTTGAGAATCTGGGTTACAAACCCCAGGCTGATCTAGCTTAACATAAACAGTAACTGAAATGGACACTTGAACATTAAAATTGCAAAGAATACCTTTTTATTACAGGGAGGTGAAAATTTTTGAATTTTTTTTTGGGGGGGGGCTACTGGGGATTGAACTTGGGACCTTGCACTTGCGAGGCAAAATTTTTAATCTTTCTGAAAGTCCAGTGTTTTTAAAACACTCCCAATGATCGGGTGACTAAAGAATAAGAATCCCCAAAATTAAAATAATTCATAACTAAAGGCCATGTCTAACATGATATTTTTCAGATATTTCAAACATGAGGACTAAAAGTCATAAAGTGAATTAAATTCCCTTCTATTGAATACTTGTTATTTGGAGACCAACTCACTAAAATAGCTTTTCTTCAAAATTATCTAATTAAAATCTGTTATATCCTATGAAGTTTAGTGAAATGGACATTATTTTTAGGGAGAGTCAAAATAAGTGAAGGATGTATCACCAAGGACAAAGTTTTAGTGTTATGTCCTACTATTTTTATACCGATTATTTACTAAGTATATAAATATTTTCATATTAGAATAAAATTAAAATTTGTGAGCAAATACAATTTTTATAAAAAGTTTCCAGCATCCAGTACAGCTACTTGTAAACTCCAGGGAGACCTCTTCTCCCACCACTGGCCTCCATGCCTGAAATGTACATCCTGACCCAAAGCTCTTAACCCTTCTTATGAGCTCGAGGAGGACCAGGCCAATCTCCTGTCTTTCTCCTCCTCAGAATCCATAAGTGGATTCAAAGCTGGGCCAGTGTGGTGGAACATTAGGATCCAAGGAGACATGAGGAAAGGCTAGAGTTGCTCCCCGATGTCTCAGCTCTCAGGTTGTCCCTACACCATCAGAGACACAACCACACTGAGTACAAACCCTGAGGGGACTACCGAGTGGGGCAGAAGCATAGGAGGTGGCTTTCTTCCTGTGAATTGAGAGTAATCAGCTTGCAGGTCTCTGCACTAAGGCCATGTACAACTTTCTGAATCCACTGGCATGACAAAGATTCTGTTAGTCACCCAGCTCTAGTCAGGCTCCTGTGAGCTGCTTTCAAGAAGACCCCATCCTTGGGCAAGGCTTCAGGAGCTTTTGGTCAACTACCGAATAAATATAAATATTATTTTGGTGAGCAAAGAATGTGTATTAACATCACTAAGTATAATTTAAGGCAACAAATATGAAATAGTTACGAAGCATGTGCTAAATTTTTCAGTACCATTCAATCAGCTCCTCAGCTCAATGAATTTAGGCAGAAAGGAAGGGATTTTCCTCTGCATCTTAACTATAAAGAGCCAAGGCAAGGAGGGGCACCAGAATACGTCACACCAGAATACAGCCCTTCAAGACATACATTATTATGACGTAAAGGCTACTGAGAAATAGAAGATGTAGGAAAAGCTCTAGAAACTAGACATGGAGTTTTCCTTTTGTAAAGGAAATTGCCATTTACAAAGGGCTGATATGTCAGAGGGTCTCAGGAAACATCAGTGTGCATCCTCTTTTATTATTATACATACATACATGAATTACACAGGGATCTGTTTGAGTGACAGGTATATAGGTGAACTTTTACTTTTGTTTCACCTTTTGCAAATGTAGTTAACAAGAACTAATCTTAGTAATCTTACTAAACCATAATAGTGTGAAGGGAGGAGAAAAAGAAAATAATCTATAGGTATTTCATACTTATAGCAGCAAAATTTATAATAGCTAAATCTTGGAAGCAGCATGAATGTTTATCAACAGATGAGTAGATTACATGTGGTATTTACAACTCTAGTACTACTCTGCCATAAAGAAGGATAAACTCAAGTCATTTGTAGGAAAATGGATGCACCTTGATACCATATTAAGTGAAGTAAATACAAGACACACAAGCCTAAATATCATATGGTTTCTCTTATGTGAGAACCCCAATATATAAATAAAGTCCAAAATAAAAGGCTGCAGGAAATAGTGAGATGGATTTTTTGGCATACGGGAAGGGAAATGAGAATGGAAGAAAGGGGGAGGAAGGGAAAGGAAATGAGAATATAAAAGAGGGGATTGTGAAGTGCTGTGTACATGCACCAAATCCTTAGGAGGAATGTGACCATCATATACTACTAACATGTATTTAAAAAATATGTAAGGTGTCCAAGAGATGCAGGGAGGGGGAAAAAGGGAGGGAGTTAGAAAAATTAATTGAGGTCATATATATATACATTCACCAATTCCCCACAATGAATGTAATCATTATGTACTAAAACATGTACCAATTTATTTATTTATTTAGTTAGTGAGTTAGTGAAATTCTTTTATTGGTACATTTTAGGTATACAACACAATTACATTTCTCATTGCGAACTTGTACCTTTATATGATGCATCTTGGTTCTTATTTTTTCCCCATTCCTAGCCCTCCCTTCATGCCCTCCACTCTTCCCTATTT